TTCTAGACCGCGCACTGTCTCCCCTTCGGCGAAAAAAAATTTTCGCGCGCTTTTTTGCGTGCGGCTCTCAGTATACGGTTTTTCAACTGAAAATGATGTTTTCCCGAGTTTTTGGGATAATGCACAGTTTTCCTTCGAAACTTTTGCCTCAAGTTTGTTCATATGACCGATAGCTACAAAATGATCACAGAGTGCTCGTGTAAAAGTGAAAATTCGAAGAGTAATTTCGTTTTTTTAATTTGGCTTGAAAAAACGAACTTTCGGAATATTTGAGAAAACAGTTGACAGAATCAAAAAACAGTTGCCTCACGATTGTTGAGCAGACAAAGGCGGTCATTTTGAGCACAGAGACGGCCCATAAAATGCGAAAATGACTGAGAAATTTCAGTTTTTGAGGATCCGGACTGAAATTCACAGAAAAGTGTAATAATGCGCGCTTTCTTGTAGGCAAAACGCTAATTTAAGGTCACAGCTGTGATTAACAATCCTGAAATTCTCTGTTTTACTTCATTTTTCTTATTTGCGTATGAGATTTCGGGTTTTCGGAAAAAAATCCAGAAATTTCAGACCTGCTTTTGTTTTCAACGACACTCCGTTTTAACTCGGCGCTCAATTTAGCATTAGCTGCTGGGGAGACAGTGGCCGCGAAGTATTATAGGGGCACCGGACAGAAAGGGCGCGATGTTCGCAATCTGGCAGAATTTCTAGGCCGCGAAGTAATTTTCCACTGAAAACGTGGCCTAATTTTTTAAACTCGGCCCCGAGGTCGTTCAATTTGCACTGCAAAAAGAGTTTCTCAACAGAGCGCCATTTCTGTGCGGTGCTCCTATAATAATTTCCCACTGAAAACGTGGCCTAACTTTTCAAACTCGGCCTCGAGGTCGCTCAATGTGCACTGCAAAAAGAGTTTCTCAACAGAGCACGGCCCGGCAATTCATACAGTGGCCGAGAAAAATGCGTGGATTAAATACTCAGCCCAGCGATTTCGCTGCTGTGGACTTGCGTACAACGGTGTATGCAGATTCTGCATACCGTAACCCAAAAATATGCGGCTAATTAAAAAAAAATTTATTGAAAGTACAGAAAAAGCCGAAGAAAGACGGAAAAATGTGCTTATCTCATCGAAAGTATAGGGAAACGTCGAAAGTATACAAGAAAACGTGATTTTGACAGTAATTGCGGAAATTTAGAATTGATTTTTTCATTTCTCGGCAGTTACACTTCCAAAAATACATTTTTCGGTATCTCTAGACGTTCTATGTGTAAAAAATGTTAAAAGTATATAATAAAAGAATGAAAACTACGAATGACATCAAAATATTAGCGGAGATTCGTTGGAAACGCCGGCGGAACTCGAGGCGAATTCATGAACGGAGTGCCCCTAGCCATAATTAGCCCTAAATTTATTAATTTGTGGAGAATTGTGTCTTCCAATTTTTATTATATTTGAGAGGAGAGTTTCCGGCGCATATCCTTTCGATGTAGAGCATTCACATGCCAGCGTTCTGAATTGACGATAATCAGCGTTCTGACTTGTTGATGAGAGTGTTGACTCCACGCAATAACCGGATCGGGTCCATACCTTGCAGGCTTCTTGGACTTGGCTTGAAACATCTTTGATCCAAGTTTAGAGGCTGGAAAAACCGAATTTTTGCGAACATTGCGGCCTTTTCGGCCTCACACCCTTATATCTCGGGAAATTTATGAAAAACCGAAAAAAAAGGTGAGATTTTGATCACAGAGGGCTCTGATTTTTTGCCAAAAGTTTCTCACTATTGTATTCGATAATTTGAGCCAGGACTCCGATCGATGTAAGGTTTCTGAAGACGTCACGGAGCTGAATTATCGATTTTTAGTGAATTTTACAAAAACTTCGATAAAAAAAGTTGAGATTTTGATCACAGAGGGCTCTGATTTTTTGCCAAAAGTTTCTCACTATTGTATTCGATAATTTGAGCCAGGACTCCGATCGATGTAAGGTTTCTGAAGACGTCACGGAGCGGAAATCTCAATGTTTAGCGAATGTTACAAAAACTTCGATGGAAAACCTGTGAAAATTATAAAAACGGAAGTCAAAGTAAAGAAGTGTATTAACTTCAATGACAAAACACGAATGAATCACTTAAAACTGCCAGAGAATCTTTTATAGCAGATAATCCAGTTCGTGTGTTGAAAAAACACACGTGGCCGAAGTTTCGCAAGGCGCAAAAAGCAAAAAAGCAGAGCGCCCTCTGGGAACTCAATCGCAATCTAATTAGAAAACTTTGCAATCTAATACGAACTCGTTTGAAATAGAATTTGCTTCAATTAGATTGCAAAATCTTCTAATTAGATTACAATCACTGCAATTTTTCTAATTAGATTGCAATGTTTTCTAATTAGATTGCAATTTTTTCTTATTAGATTGCAATTCAGGAAAAATATATTGTAATCTAATACGATTTTACTGGAACTTCAATTAAATCTAATTAGATTGCGAAATAGAGCTTTTTCTTATTAGATTGCAAACTCTTCTAATTAGATTGCAATCGAGTTTCCAGACCATTTCTGTGCGGTGCCCCTATAATATAGATGCATTTCCTGGAAAAAGGGCGGCGAAAAAGAGGGTTGAGAGAAATATTATAGGGGCACCGGACAGAAAGGGCGCGCTGTTAGCAATCTGGCCGAATTTCTAGGCCGCGAAGTAATTTTCCACTGAAAACGTGGCCTAACTTTTCAAACTCGGCCCCAAGGTCGCTCAATTTGCACTGCAAAAATAGTTTCTCAACAGAGCGCCATTTCTGTGCGGTGCCCCTATAATACCATTTTCGCGGTAGAAGAGAGAGGTAGACAGATAATGGCTCATAGCAGGAAATATATTTCTATGAACCTTTATCTTTTTCGTCTGCGCCTAGGCGAGCTCTCTCTCTTCTACCGTGCTAAGTAATGGTATTTCTCTCGCCTCGAGATTTTTTGCTTTGACCAGATTTCTTCTCCGCTGACAAGTATGTTCTTCATCGTTTTGTTTCATTTCGCTATCGATCGACTAGGACCAGGGAAATTGTCACGACTCGAATGAGGAGAAAAAATGATGATTAAAAACATCTCATGACTATCGGAGAGGTGCCTGTAACATTTCTCGGAGAGTAAATATAAAGTTTCAATGACGACTGACCGCAGTTACACTCACTTCTTGTTGTTTGTTAATTTCCTGAGGATATTTGAAAATATTCAAATTTCTTGCGCAAATTTTCAAAAAATACCGTAATTTTAGGGGTACGGTTACATTCGTTAAGCTGAGCACATCCCCGTTTTTCACGCAAATTTCGGCCGACTTTGGACAGAAAAACCTGCGGTTTTTCCGGTTTTTCTGAGACTTTGGACGCAGCATTAGATTTCCTATTGTTTCTGCCGATACGTGCAGTGATGAGCCGGGCGGCTCTTCTCATGTCGTCGGAACAGCGTTTAACGCGTTTTCAAACTGAAAAATTGGTTATTATCGGGGCATTTCTAATGGGCTTTCCGTTTTTTTTACATCGCTGAATTGGATTTTTTGACGTAAAAAAACGAAAAAAAAACGGAAAACAATCATTTTTTTCACAGCCTGAATAACCCCATAAGGGAATGAATCTGTTGCAATTGCGATCTCCAGTTCTGAACCAATTAAAAACAGAAAAATTTCTATCAGAATTCAAGTGAAAAACAACTGAAACTCGTTTTGCGGCTAGGAAGGTATGCACCGGCGATCACAAAAAGACGATCTCCTAAACAAAGCGCATTCACTGCACCGATATTAGAGAATTTCGGTTTATTACGAGTAAATACGATAATTCGGGTTATTTATAAAACTGAAAAAAAGGCAGCAAAAATTTGTGTTTCGCAGCTGCCTGTCTAAGAATAAAGTCGATAGCGTGTCTGTTTAGATATGCCACCGAAACAAATTCCGGGCCGTCTGTTCAGAAATCGACACAAAAAATAACCCAGAGCCGCCGGACCGCCGTGAACTCTGAGCTCGGCATCCATCTAAATAAAACAAAATGTGGCGGCCGTCCACCTTACTCAGGTATTTGAAGTGAGGAAACAGCGGCGGAAGAGGCGTTTTGAGGAAACTGCGGCGGAACGCTGTTTCGCCAAACTCAAATCGTGGCGAGACCACTGCGGCGGCAGCTTTGGCGAAACGGTGGCGGAACGCCGTTGCAACGGAAAACGACGCACTGTTCTGGCGGAGTTCTGGCGAAGCAGCGGCGGCACTGTGGCGAAGCAGCGGCGGCACTGTGGCGAAGCAGCGGCGGCACTGTGGCGAAACACGGTTGTAAGTGTGTTCCACCCGCTTTCCGCCGCTGTTTCCTCACCTCAAATCCCTGAGTACATATTTCCCAGCGATTTGAAGTGAGGAAACAGCGGCGGAAAGCGGGTCGAACACACTTACAACCGTGTTTCGCCAGAACTCCGCCAGAACACTGCGTTGTTTTCCGTTGAAACGGCGTTCCTCCGCCGTTTCGACAAAAGCGCCGCGGCTGTGGTCTCGCCACGATTTGAGCTTGGCGAAACAGCGGTCATCCGCGGTTTCCTCAAAACGCCTCTTTCGCCGCTGTTTTCTCACTTCAAATCGCTGACGAGATCTCAGGGATTTGAGGTGAGGAAACAGCGGCGGAAAGCGGGTGGAACACACTTACAACCGTGTTTCGCCACAGTGCCGCCGCTGCTTCGCCAGAACTCCGCCAGAACAGTGCGTCGTTTTCCGTTGCAACGGCGTTCCGCCACCGTTTCGCCAAAGCTGCCGCCGCAGTGGTCTCGCCACGATTTGAGTTTGGCGAAACAGCGTTCCGCCGCAGTTTCCTCAAAACGCCTCTTCCGCCGCAGTTTCCTCACTTCAAATACCTGAGGGTTTAGTATGCGGTAGAGCGCACTTGCGCCAGAGTACTCTTCCACAACTCTGTAACTCTACTTAATTTTTCCAAGTTTTGCAATCTAATTAGTCAAATTTCCGCTTTTTAGGCTGTGATCGTTTCTTTGAAGCCATGGATTTAGACGTAAAACATTCAAATTCTTCAAAGTTAGACAGTCACTGCGAGATCTGCTTCCCATTGGATCACGATGAAGTTCCATCAAGAGGCGAATACGTCGATCTTCTTGAATTTTCAAATGTTAGTATTTTTGTAAATTTTAAATTACAAAATATTGTTTTTAAAACACATCCTTGGAGACTGTGTCAAAACAGCGGAAAGCGGAAACGCGTGTTAAGATTGTGAAGATACATTTTCAGTTCAAAGGATCACCCTACTGTCTCATAACTTCCGCAAGTGAACCTCGAAAATTTTTTGCAGACTTCAGGTACTAATTTTTAAAGCAGTTCTGAATGAAGAGCTTATTTAGATACACTTGGTCTGTTCCACTTGTCCATGATTATCCGCTTGTAGATAAGGAAGTGCTCGCTTCACGTCGCGTTCAGGCGGCAATTGCGAACTTCGGCCAAAGTTGTGAAGAGAAAGCAACACAACAACAACGTGGCATAAATTTTCTGACAGAAATTCGGGCGAATATGTCAAAGACTATATGCAAATGCTGTGCATATCTTTTATACAAGATATTCAGAAAATTAATTCATAAACTGCTTATTTGTCCTGATGAAGTCAAACAGCTTCAAATTGCCGAAAACGTGAGTTCAAACAGGGGTGGCATTATAAAAAACGAGTCCGCATTTAAACCAGACTTGTCGCGGGGCGGGCCGATGGAGCTTTGACGAATTTTTTCAAAACAAAACTTTCGAGGCAAAGTTTATTCCAATATCGTGCCTTTCTGTAATTTTGAGTTTGCAAAATACGTTTTCGCGCTTGCATTTCGTAGGCACCTTTTGAGCAAACTTTTGGGATAAAAATTTTTCGAACAAAACTTCATGATATCAGCTTTTGAGCAACAGTCGGGCGAAGGTTGCTAAAGTCTTGCTCAAAAAATGCATACGTCTACCGAGTACTGATGCAGAATATCTGTTTTTTTGCAGACAGGCCTTCCTTTGGTATACCTCCCGCTCCATCGCAGCCACCTCGACTATCTTCTCATAACTTGGTGCAACTGGCACTTTGGTTTGAAGCTTCCACACATTGCATCGGGCGACAATCTCAATCTCTGCGGACTAGGGTAAGAGCTTAATACGGCAAATATCTTGTAACCCGATTGCTTAAAGATGGCTTCTCCGGGCTACTGGAGCGTTTTTCATCCGCAGGCGTATAGACCCAGAAGACGAAAGGGGGAAGGACCAGCTTTACCGAGCTGTTTTGCACTCATACATTGAACAAGTGCTCACTAAAAATATGCCGATAGAATTTTTTCTGGAGGGGACAAGAAGCAGATTCGGAAAAGTTCTGACTCCAAAAAATGGGCTTATATCTAATGTGGTAGAAGCTGTACAGAAAGGTAATTATTCTATAAATATCTGACAAGCCTGACCCCCGGCTAATTCCCGAATTCGCATACGATAGGCCTATCATATACCTATTTACCCTAAAAATTGCTTGCGATAGGTCTATTTAGCATGAAATTTTCGTGATCGGTCCATCATGTGTCTATGGAAGAACCCGCTCCGAGTTCTGAATAGACCCACCACGAGTCACATGTGAAATCGCGCGCCTGCGGAGCACGCGGTCGCGGGTTCCATAATCGTTTCCAATCTAACTAGCTAATTCTCGTTTCTAACCGGACCTAGTTAGATTGCTACCGATTTCTGAATCTAGCTAGCTGATTCTGCAATGTAAACATAATCTAGGTAGGTTTGCCCGAAGTTTTAATCTGCGGACATACAAAATAACGGTTAAACTGAAACAAGCTAATTTTGCAAAGAATTTTCAAAGACACTGAAATTAGATTCAAAATTCATCTACTAGTAATTAGATTAATATTTCGGCAAAATCCAGCTAGATTATGTTTACATTGCAAAATCTAGCTAGCTATAATATATAGATTACCGTAAAAACTGTATTATAACGACACCTGTAATAGAACGGCACCTGTATTATAACGGCACCCTTAGCTATCCTTCGAAAAATATAACGGCACCCTGTAATAAAACGGCACCTGTAATATAACGGCACCCCCAGACATCCTTCGAAAAATATAACGGCATGCCGTTATAATACAGTTTTTACGGTAATAACGTATTGCCTGACATTGTGAGTCGGCCGCACGGAAGAGACGCGTCAATATACCCGAATGTCATTATTACTTCATTATTCTTCAAAAATCTGTCTGAAATCTGCCTTTTGTCAGAAAAATGAAGAAAATTGTGATCTAGCGTGTCCCACTCAAAATGTAAATTATGAAGGCGCAAAACTTCAGTGCGCGAATTCTGGCTCGAACAATTTCTCTCCGTGCGAAACCCAAGAAAAAAGAAAAGAATGGAAAAAACAGTGCAAGCGTTCCTTTTTTTTTATTTTTTTTCATATAGCTGACAAACGCTGTTTAAGGATTCATAAAGGATTGTTTTCTGGTGCCAGTGTCTTACACTTACGATGCTGTTGTTGAGGGCATATTTCTTCACGAGTTGATGGGTATACCGAAGGTGCGTAATTGTTTACTGTCGGGAAATTTAAACGCACTTTGTTGAGATTTTGCGAGCCGAAACCGCTCGGGGACTCGAATTGGAATAAATTCAAATGGCATGCACAGATGGAAGAGAAACACGCACTAGTCCGTCCGTCATGCCGACTTTTTTGATGAGTTTTACAATATTTCAATAAAATATGAAATTTTTCGTTTTTTTTCAGCATATTATACTCAATTTACCGCTCTTTACCCTCGATTTTTACGTACTCGAGCCTAATTTCAGAAAACTTGGCTTGAGTCTGCAAACACCGAGGGGCACTAGCGATGAATTGAGCTTATCAGTTTTTCTTAACGAATCTAATGAAAAGATAACGGAATCTGTCAGTTTCTTAATTTCTTTCAAAAATGTACCGAGCCGTGGTCGTGAGCAAAATCTCAACAGATCCCGTTCACATTAAAATGCCCCGATAGTAATCATCATAATTTTTTTTAGGTCCGAGAGAGCGTACTTGGAGTTTTTCGTGGAATTTTAGAAGGCTTCAGCAAGTCCAAACAGTGCGGTGTTGTGAGAGTTAACTACGGGAGACCGATCCGTTTGAGCGTAAGAAGAATATTACGGCTATGGCTTGGGGATATTTCACTGCAATGGCATTTTGTTGGGAAACTCTTTTCGGGCCAATACTCAATGACTTCCACACATAATGACTCCCAGTTGCTTAACGACTTTCACCGTTCCGCACTACTCAAGAGGCATTACGATGTGCCAAGTATGGGATACATCGGTCGGGGGCGGGTCAGAAAGTTATTCATGAGAAAAGCTTGCACAGAATCCAAAAACTTCTATTTGTTTAGTAAGAAGAAAGATTAACGGTAGATCCAGGGATATTTTTTCTAACACTAAATTTTGCAATCAAATACGGCTATACAACATAATTGAACTGGGCAGAATAGAACTGCGACAGAATAGAACTGTTTTTTGGTAGTGTGCGTTTGTATTTTTTTTAAAGTGAGAAATTGCCTATATTTCGATTCAATAATTCGATAGCGAGCTTCAAAGATGATCTTACTTTAGAAAACGATTGTTCTACAGTATTGATGAAGGGATGAAAACAGCTCTATTGTGTCGCAGTTCTATTATGGCCGTTTCTGTTGTGTCGCAGTTCTAATCCGCCCAGTTCTATAATGTCGCAGTTCTATCACGTTGTACCGCCTTAAATGCGCGGGAATTTTCAGGAGTATTTGTCGATGATCACTGTAAGCATGTCGTATCACCGTAGCCGCCCTGTCCGAATGACAAAGATACCAACTTCATTTTCCTATCGTGAATTAGTTCCATGGCATAGAACTCATTCCGAAACAGTTGATGATCGTGCTATGATTCGTGCCATTGGTTTTCATGTAGTCTATGGTATTCCTAAGGTGTGGTGCTTAAAAAAACGACAAATTTAGAAGCTCAAATGATGTGCTGTTTGTCACCGGTTGCAGTAGTTTCTTGTCTCATACTGGCGAAATGGAGAAAAGTAGTGTCTTTCGATGTTTTTGAAAAAGATTGCGTTTGGCTTTGCGAGGAAATTATCTCGGACGGTGGCGATGTTGTTGGATATAAATCGAAAGGGACCGACGGAAGTGCCCTCGCAAAATATGCACTAGAAAAACTACGGTCATGCGTGATTTTTGATGGAGCAAACGTTTCACCAGTGCCTAATCATGGCTGTTTCATTCAGCTGGCTTACAATAAAAACGCTGTAATTTGTAGATTCTCAATCAAAGCAGTTATTGGTCTGTGGAATCCACAGTGTGGATATGTGCTTCTTTTCAAATGCATTTTCTTTCAGCAATTTCTATTACATCTCGAATGTTCGGCAACCGCCCCACTTTGAATGTTGATCAAGTTATCCATGACGTTCTCTATTTGTGCGATTGGCTCCAGTTCGAATTCTTGTTCTGCCGTGTTAGTCGCTTGGCTTCGGAATATTTCTAAAACCTCCTATTTCAGCCATGTGAAAATCTTCATGATGTAATAAAAGATTTTATCAGCAGAGAAGACTGGGCACATGTTGATCAAGGATGGCTCGCTTCGGATGGTGAACATGAAAGCATATTCGAATTCGGGGATTATCCGAAATCAATAACATTGCGCGTAAGTCACGTGTACCTCTCGGTCTCGAGCTGGTTTTGGCGCCGCACGAAATTGGCGGAAATACCGAGTTTTCGGATTTTCAGTCGGAATTTCGGAATTGATTTTGAACCGTCGGAATTTCCGGAAGAATTTCGGAAAGGAAATTTTTGAATCCGACACTCGAGAAGTAGGCAAATCAATTAGCGAATTATATAATTAGATTAGATCTAATTATCTAATTCGCTAATTCGCGTTTCTAACCGGACCTAGTTAGATTACTACTGATTTCTAAATCTAGTTAGCTGATTTTGCAATCTAAGCATAATCTAGCTAGGTTTGACCGAAATGTTAATCTAATCACTCTATTAACGTCACTCTATTATAAACTGAGCAAACAAATAACCTTCAGGGCCGCAATTCAAAATGCCAAGAAACAATGAAGATGTTTGCAAATCTAGTTCGCCCCTTTATTCAATCTTTATATATTGTTTGCTTTTATGTTACGTCTCCGATATGCCCCATAGAACTCACTTCCGGTCAGTTATCTAATTATCTGTTTTTTTTTCGCACTCCATCGTTTTGCAGATAGCAGTCTCATTCGCAAAATTTGCCAAGTGTCACTAGAAGGAAGACTGAATCTTCCTTTCGATCCACTACGTGAGTTTTTCTACGTCGTCATGATCGCTATCAACTCCCGTCTTAATTAGACAGTCTATTTTGCGAATTTTTTCAGTGGAGTCTATAAATTCTGATTCGTTCAAGAATTCTTTGAGTGTTTTAAAGGACAAAGGGCTTCTCAATCCAACAAATCCGAACCATGTTGCACGCAGCAGTAATCCAGCTATCATTGATCTTATGCTGAAGTTGGAAAGAGTTCTGAAAGAGTAGACTGTCGCGCAAATAAACAATTATAATATTAACTGCTAATTTAATCAATAGGTACCGTCGAAAACTACTGAAGAAAAACGGAGTTTTAACGATTATTTGCCGAATCGAGTTCGGACACTGGCATTCGAACCGTCCAGTCAACAAGGAGTTTATTGCGCATCTCTTAACAAGGGAACCTTTTAAGTGATTCAAGGAACCGGCCTAAACTAACGACACAGTTCGAGAGAGGGACTTTCAAAACCTATATTCCAGTTTTCAAAAGCTGCTTTCGAGACCTCTGAAATGCTGAAATTCCAGTCCGAAGTTTGACATTTCTTAACCATAGATTTCGCATTTTTTCTTTCTTTTTTCATGTATTTTTGACGAAATTGTTTTGAAATGTTGATTTTTGAAGAGATTAAAGTTGCCAACTGAAGTTCCTTATCGTGTATGCGGAAATTATTCATCAACACAAATCTTTTTTGCGATGGTTTTTTTCAGAACAGCGTTTGAGTGCAGTTGACTCTTTGATCCATAACTCGAAGGGGAATTTTTGTAGAGAATAATGATCAACTACAAAGCTCATCAGGTTGACAACATTTTTGAAAACTTGCTGATTTTTGTGAAACGACCCACTTTTTATCAACAGCCTGTATCTCAAGAAGAAATTTTTTTAGAAAGAAGTGGTTAACTGGAAAGTTGTAGTAAATGTCATGCTGATCAACTTTGTAGTTGATCATTATTCTCTACAAAAATTCCCCTTCTTTCTTCCTTAAAAATGGAGGTGTTAGTTCGCACCGGACGCATGCCTTTTTTTGGTGGCTCGTACTGAAACAAAACAATTAAACCAATTCTCTGTAGTTTCTGATGTATCAGTGTGTTTTCTACATTTGAAACAATATACTTTATTCAATCCTCTATTCATTTATACCAACAAAAATCATGTAACAATTATGAAACAATTATGAAACAATTATGAAACAATTATGATGCAATAGAGAATTGATGAATTACTTCTTCTCTTGAATAGTTAGTTTCTTCAATTTCTCCGAAAGTCTCAATTTTTGAATATCATTCTTCTTTTTCTCTATCTTTGCTAGTTTTGCTTTCTTTTCAGCACGTTTCTTAACTTTTCAGCACGTTTCTTAGGCT